AATTAAAATTAGGGTTAAAAAGTGAAAATTAATATTAAATGGGAACCTTACACAGGCTAAGTGCTCAGTATCTTTTAAACTAAAACCAAATCACCATAATACTGTGGCTAGTTCTTGTTCCCTTGTAAAAAAAGAAAAAGGAAAAGAACTGCAAAGCCTTCGACATTCAAGTCTTAAAACACACTAGGAATATTACCTATCATTATTAATGCTTTTAAGTTTTAAATTAATCCTTCCTCACACTGACATATGATTAATGTATATTGGTATCTTCATAAAAAAATTAAATTAAATGAGGCAGTAGTACAATTAGAACTTATACCAACTAGAAGCTAATACCAAAGCTTATTTTGTTACACAGATAAACATGTACAACATTGCAAATCAGTTCAACATTATTATTTTATTTCATGTCTGTTACATGGTAAATTCTGAAGAAAATTTTTGAAGGAATCAAGATTTCTTAAGAAAAATCAGATTGTACATGTCAGTTCTCTAGGACCATATATCTCATTCTTTCACTTTAATCAAGCATATAAGGATTTGTTTTATTCAATAAATGACTTCTACTCTTATCTGTAATAAAGAGAGTGAGGAAAAAAACAGATGATGACATCAGTGATAACCTATAGTCTCATTTTGGCTACTGGATCCAACCTTTTCCTGAAGCAACCTTTTCATTTCAAATTATCACAAGAACAGACACATGGCCTGAACGACAGCATTTTAAATCTCTTTCTCTTTCAGGTAGCAAAGTTAATAAGCTGAGAAATAATCAGGAAACAGGCAGGAAGAGCGATGGCCAAAGTACTAGATGACATATAATTTGTTATTGGCTAATGAAAAACTTCATTTTATAGGGTAAGGAAGCTACAGCTCAGAGTTTATAACCTGCACAAAGTTACTCAGCTGGGTTAATAGCAAAGCCGAAACCAAATTTTAGGTCTTCTGACTGAGTCAAATGCTCCTTCCAGTATGTCATTAGACTGGTCAGATTAGATCATTGGAAAAAAAATCCCAAAAACCTGAAGCTTTCTCAATGTAAATATCTATTCTATATCAGCTTAGAAGTTAAAACTAGTTTTATGCATTCAATTTCGTTTTTTTACTACTGAAATTATTGAGAAATGTCAATATGAAAACCCATTTGTTTTCACCTCTGCTTAATATATTTTTTTCCTACTCATTTAATCTTAGGAAGTATTTCTGTAACAGAAAATTATTACTTTATTGCACATAAAAGTCTCCATCAAAACAAAATCCTATAAACATTACTTATAAGTAGGAGACTAAAAGGATAATTCTACTTTAGATCCACCCTAAATATACAGAACACTTTGTAATTGTATATAATTATTTTATACCATTTCATGTGGGACACCTGAATCCAATATCAATTCAACTTTAAAAAGCACTGAGTAGCCCTGGCTGGTGTAGCTCAGTGGATTGAGCACGGGCCTGTGAACTAAAGGACTGCAGTTCAATTCCCAGTCAGGGCACATGTCTCAGTTGTAGGCCAGTTCCCAGCGGGGGACACAGGAGAAGCAACCATACATTGATATTTCTCTCCCTCTCTCCTTCCCTTCCCCTCTAAAGATGGATAAATAAAATCTTTAAAAAAAAAAGGCACTGAGTATCTACTACAGATCAGGTCCTGGTGCTATATTTAGACGGTTAACTACCAAATCAAAGTAAAAAACAAGTATCTCTGACCTTTGAGACAAGGCGCACTTAGTTTTACCAAAGAAAGTTCAACCTCAGTGGCCTCCCAGTGTTGCCCTGACACCAAAACCAGACGAAAGTAAATTACTGGCCAATACCCTTGATGAGCATAGATGCAAAGAGCCTCAACAAAATACGAGCAAACTGAATACAGCAATACATTAAAAAAATCGTTCACCATGATTAAGTGGGATTTACTCCCAGATGCAAGGTTGATTCTATACCCACAAATCAATTAACCTGATACAACACATGAACAGAGTAAAAGGTAAAAATAATATGATCATATCAACAGTTGCAGAAAAAGCATTTGACAAAATCCAACACCCATTTATGATTAAAAACTCTGCAAACTGGGGACAAAGTGAGCATACCTCAACATAATGAAGCAACAGAGCACAAACCCACAGCCAACAACATAATCTAGAATGAAAATCTGAAAGCTTTTTGTTCAGGAACGAGACAGCACTGTCCACTTTCAACACTTTTATTCAATATAGTGTTGAAAGGCTTAGCCACAGTACTCAAACAAAAAGAAAAAAGAAAGAAAGAAAAGACATGCAAATTGGAAAGGAAGAAGGCAAACTCATCATTTGTAGATTACCTGACACTATATATAGAGAACCCTAAAGATTTTACCAAAAACTATTCAAACCGATAAAACGAATTCAGTAAAGTAGGACACATTAATATTCAGAAATCTGTTGCATTTTTATCAACAACACACTATCAGAAAGAATATTTAAGAAAATGATCCGATTTATAGTTGCATCAAAAAGAATAAAATCCCTAGGAATAAACTTAACCATGGAAGTAAAAGACCTGTACAGGAAAGTGTGTGAGACACTGAAGAAAGACATTAAAGAAGATATAAATAAACGGAAGGAATACTGTGCCTATGAAGCGGAAGAATTACTACTGTTAAAATTTCCACATTACACAAACCAATCTGCAGATTTAATGCAATCCCTATCAAAATACCAATGGCATTTTTCACGGAACTAAAACAATCCAAAAATTTATATGAAACCACAAAGACTTCAAAAAGCCAAAGCAATCTTGAGAAAGTAGGACAAAATTGGAGGTATCACACTACCTGTTATCAAAACTAAACTAGGTTATAATAATGAAAACAGCATGGCTCTGACATTTAAAATAGACACAAAAATCAATGGAAGAGAACAGAGAGCCCCAAAATAAACCCATGCCTATATCTATGACAAGGGAGGCAACAATATACTGAATACAAGGGGGTAAAGACAGTCTCTTAATAAATGGTGTTGGGAACACTGGGCAAATACATGCAAAAGAATGAAACTGGCCATTATTTTGAACTCAAAATGGATTAAAGACTTAACTGTAAGATCTGAAACCATAAAATTCTAGAGGAAAAGGTAGGCAGTAAACCCTCTGACAATGCTCTTAGTAAATTTTTTTTGGATATGTTTCCCTTAGCAAAAGAAACCAAAAAAATGAACAAATGGGACTACATTAAACTAAAGAGTTTTTGTACAGCAAAGGAAACCATCAGTAAAACAAAAAACTTACTGACTAGAAGATACTTGCCAATGATACCTCCAATACAGGGTTAATATCCAAAACTGGTAAGGAACTCATACAACCTAACACCAAAAAATAAACAATCCAATTAAAAAAACTGGCAGAAGACCTGAACAGACCTGTCTTCTCCCAACAGGACATACAGATAGTCAATAGACATATGAAAAGATGCTCAACATCACTAATCATCCAGGAAATGTAAATTAAAACCAATATAAAATATCACCTGATACCTGTCAGAATGGTTATCATCAATAAACCAACAAACAAGTATCAAGAAGTGTGGAGAAAAGGGAACCCTTGTGCACTGTTGGTGGGATTGTAAATCCCACGACATTTGAATGGGTAAAGTAAAAGTGGAACATATATGCAATGGAATATTACCCAGCCATAAAAAGAACAAAATGTTGCAATTTGCAACAACTTGGATGGACCAAGAAGGTATTACACTAAATGCAGTAAGTAGACAGAGAAAGACAAATACCATATGATTTCACTTATATGTGAAATCTAAAAACCAAAATAAGCAAACAAAACAAAACAAACAACAGAAATGAATTCACTGATTCAGTAAACAAACTGATGGTTGCCAGATGAGAGAGGGGTTGTGGAGATAAGTGACAATGGTAAAGGGATTAAGAAATACAAATTGCTGCTATACAAGCGGACACAGGGATGTAAAGTACAGCACAGGAAATATAGTCAATAACACTGTAATAACTCTATATGGTGCCAGGTGGGTACCAGACTTTTGGGGGATTGCTTTTTAAGTCATATAAAACTCTAACCATTATGTTGTACACCTAAAACTATAATACTGTATATAACTAAAAAATTTTTTACATTTAAAAAATTTCTCAGTGGCCTCCTACATAATCATTCAATTATTTTGTTGAATTTAAGATATCAAAGAGTTTTCTCAAAATAGAATATGAAGATCAACATTTAAAAACTTCTAGCTCTTTGAGAAAGACACAGTCACAGCTACAACTGAGATCCGTGGGCCGTTCCTACTCCTGACTCCCTGCTGTTTACTGTCACTGAGGAGCAGCAAGTCCTTAAGAGGCCTTGCCACAGGCATGGCTTAAAGAAACCAGAGAGACAGCGGAGGAACCAGGGGTGGCAGTTCACCAAACTACAGTTACTCTAACCAGCTGCAATGTAAAGTCTTTGGGGAAGGTGTGAGCTAACTTGAACAGAGGCGCAAAGGAAAAGAATCTCAGAGTGAAAGGACCAGTTCGGATGCCTACCAAGACTCTGAGAATCATCAGTGCAAGAAAAACTCTCTGTGGGGAGGGTTCTAAGACTTGGGACTGGTTTCAGATGAGGATCCATGGACAACTCACTGACTTGCACAAGCCCTTCTGAGACTTAAGCAGACTCTTTCCATCAGTACTGAGCCAGGAGTCAAGGTTGAATCACCATGGCAGATACTTAAATCAACCTTTTTAATAAATTGATGATTGCTTAAAAATTCTTTTAAAGTTTCTTAAATTACTGAGGACACTATTAAATTATATTGAGAGATGTTAACTCCAGTTTTATGAATTCTCAATGGTAAGAACATGGTATTTCAATAATACGGCATTTATAATACTCACGAATACTTTTAGAGATAGAACCTAGATCCCAAATTACTTGTTTGACGTGAAAACTGTCCAAATCTATCTTAAGTGTCTCTCTCTGGAAGACTGCTCACAGGAAAAGGAGACATGTACCTTTCCATGACAGCCAGGCACTCCTTTCTCCAGGTGAATCGACTTCCTCGTCGCAGTCGGAAGGTGCCGGATGTAGCCGAGACTGGGGGAGGCGTTTGTCTCCATTCGGGGTCTTCTATTGGAATAGGGGCTGGTCTCATACTTAGCGTAGCCCCTGAAATAAACAAGGTATTTTTAGAAAATACTTATTAATTAAAACCAATGACAAATATATCATGAAATCAAAAATAAACTTTTGCCCCTCCACTGAAACTTGCAGGCCTAATACATTTGATATTTATATATTTTTTAAAAATAAAAAATTATTTAACCAAAATAAAAATCCAAAGAAGCAAAAACTCTTCCTTAAAAAATCATGAATTATTTTAAAATGTCTTTTTTTTCAGGTTGTCTTTTGTCTTTCATCTGTGTCATTTTTTTGAAACCATGCTTAAAATCTATCTCTTTTCCAGCCCTGTCCAGGTAGCTCAGCTGGTAAAGAGTGTCGTCCCAATAAGTCAAGGTTGCAGGTTAAGGACATATATAACATCGACCCATAGAAGAACCAACCAATAGACGCATATGTAAGTGGAACAACAAATCAATGTTTCTCTCTCTCTCTGTCTTCCCCTTCCTCTCTCTAAAATCAATAAAAATAAAGTTTTATTTGAACATAGCCATACTCATTCATGTACATATTTGGGGTTTTTTTGCATTACACTGGCAGAGTTGAGTAGCTGCGAAAGAGACCACATAGCCCACAAAACTTGAAATATTTACTACCTGGCCTTTTACAGAAAGTTTGCTGCTGATCCCTGGTTTAAAAAATTTCTGGCCCACAAACTATAAAACTCTACACTGAAACCCTTTTTTCAGACAGTTCAAGAAAGAGGGTTCTGCCCTCTTATTCTGCCAAGATAACTTGGCAATTCAGTCTGGGCCCAATTCAAAGTTAACAAAGTTTAGTTATAATAAGGAACTAGGGAGCTGGAAAGTTTAAAAATCTTTGTTTTGGTACCTTTCTGAACATGAACAGGAATTATAGCCTGACAAGGGCGCTGGAATCTATCTAAGTAGACTACATAAATTTTGCTCAATAGCCATAATAAACGGTCCAAAACAGAGCAAGCTAATATCATGGTTGATGAGAGTGAGGTAGAAACAGGCTTGGTAAGGCAACAGGACCTCTCATCCAAGTCTTGGCTCTGATAAAAGAATAGAGAATAGAGAACTTGGGGCTCCGGGGGTGGAGGACAGGGAATAGGTCAGTGAATTTCAAGAATTACAGTAGGCTACATATACGCATAGCATGCTTCTTAGTTAAGTAGAGTGATAAATGGGTGTAAATAAAACCAAAAATACAAAAAGCTTAGTTCAATTGTGAGGCCGAAGGAAATAAGCCAACTGATAACAATGGTTCTTTCTTCGTATTGGGGTTAATTGGTAATATAACTATGTTTTTTAATAATATTCTGTTGTTCAGATTTTTTATAAAGAAACTGAAATAAAATTTGTCAAGAAAGAAAAGAAAGGGCCAAAGAGGAAGGAGGGAAAAAAGTAAGTAGTGGCTGGTTACTTTAAAAGAAATCAAAGGTAACTTATGCACAAAAAGTGGAAATTTTGAATAATTTCAAACCTGTAAACACACTTCATTTGAAACATAGTATTACCCCTTTACTTTTGAGGGTTTTTCCCTTATTTTTCTTTTTTCAATGTAGCAGTATTTAAAAATAGCATAAGAAGTACTCTGGAAATACTCTAATAAATAGAGATTTGTTCTAGAAAACTTGGTTCATCTTGCTTTGGTCAAAATGGGTAGAGAGCAATTGACAACCCCAGAAGTTGTTCAAAATTATTGACTTTGACAGAAAAATACAAAGATACTAGAATACAGGAACACTGTAAATAAGACTTTAAACTCCTCAGAAATAAACTACAGGAGTTCTGGGTTTTTGAAACAACCAACTTTTTGTGTTTTCCTTAGAGGATGTGTGTTACCTATTTTCTTCACAGAAACATTTTTTTCCCATATTATATTTGGGCTCCCACTAAGACAAAAAATTGCACATTTATCTAGCAAACTAAGAGGGGAAAAAAAACCCTCTTCCTAATTTGCCGATAGATTTTTAAATTTTGATAAATGTATTCTTTGTATATGTAATTTCTTATCACGGTTGTTTCTAGGTGGGCCTTATGAGGGTAACTCCTGGGTGAGCCTTCACCAATCAGCTGTTAAAAGTATAACTACAGCCCTGGCTGGTAGCACAGGCCTGCAATTCAAAGGACTGTGGTTCGATTCCCAGTCAGGGCACATGCTTGGGTTGCAGACCAGGTCCCAGCAGGGGATGCACAAGAGGCAACCATACATCGATATTTCTCTCCCTCTCTCCTTCCCTTCCCCTCTAAAGATAAATTTTTTTAAAAAAGTATAACTACAAGCATGTCAGCATAGAACACATGTTCTGTGAACGACTCCATTCACAGAAACTAGCTTCTCCAAAAGGACTTTCTTAACTTGACTCCACATCACACATGTGATCTCCTTGTGGCTCTGACACTCTGCAGCAGTAAGGGGAGGAGAGTAATACTTTTCTCCAAATTTACTTCATGTGCTTGCTGAATAAGCCTCTTGGCAAACTTTCCTTAATTGTTCAGTTTAAAAATATGCAGAATCGGTGCCATGAGCCAAGAAGAACTCAGCAAACCCTGTCTGCTGTAGTAATGTTTAAATTAGACAAGAAAAAAGACTGTCAGGGCTTCATTTGATTAAATAAAGGAGCTTCTGATGTCAACCATGCTGAATTTAGTACTCACTCCTTTTAAAAAAAATAGGCATTTTCTTGTAAATGTTTTCGTAAGAAACAAGATAAAATGTTTGCGATCACTTTCCATCATACTATTTTATTCATATGCCTTGGCAAGCTTTGGGTTATGCTGGGAACTTCTGATGACGGTTCTGTTTATCAGAGAATTATACTACATCTATATGTATTGGATTATCAGTAAAAATAACCTAAATATCCATTCTATTATTTTTCTTGCTGAGTCCACTTAAAGAGAGAGCAACAACAACAAAAAACCACCACCACCAAAAATCCTTTTCCAAATGGATCCAGAGTGGAAGGGTTGAAAAAAATAACTTTAATCATGGTATACAGAGAGTAATATTCTCAGCCCAGGAATAGAGAATGTTCAAACATTTCTTTGTTTTCAAAATGCTTAAATTTATGTTAACAAAGTGCTTTTTTCATTTTGGGATTTTTCCTTAAATTTGAATTTTTTCTCAGAATATATGCAAAGGGATGGTACCATTTATATTTCTTTTGATGAGCTCTCTATCCTGGATAGAGAAAAATTTATGAAATAAAAGAACTACCTACCAATAAAAATTAGTGATATTTTTTACCTAACAGCCTCTCAAAAGCAGATCTGTACTATGTGAAACTAGGGTCTCAGTTTTTTGTATCTTGAAAGCTGTTAACAAGGAAGACTAATTTTTTTCACCTCCCACCTTCCTTTTTCATTATACCTTGTATTTACTTTTTGAATATGTAGTACAAATACATGTTGCAAAATTTTGAAAAGCTCAAAAGGTTATCTGTTATCAACTCTCAGGTCCACTCCACAGAGCCACTGATCAATTCCTAGTTTGGCCTTCCAGAGATGTTCTCTGTTTACCCCAGTATACACGTGTATGTGTGTGTTTGTGTCCTACATAAATGGTAATATGTGAGATTCACTGTTTTGTGTCTTACTTTATTCACTTATGAGTTGAATACTACCACATACAAACCCAATTCATATAAAGCCAACTCTTTAAAAAAATAGCTATATAGCCTCCACAGTAATTTAGGTAACCAATTTTTTAACTAGGGACATTTAGGTGGATTCCAATCATCTCTGCAATGACATGCAGAGTAGATTCTGATGTATTATAAGCAACTACTAACTATGCAGTAGATGGTAGGCTATTAGATGCTAACATGATTTTAGTTCATCTTATCAAAAAAATAATAGTTTCAAAGTGTCCATGGAGTAACAAGAAATAATATAATTCTTCAGCTAAAATCTAAAGTTAAAATCCAAGGCTTTTGGTCAAGATGGCAGCATAGGTAAATGCGGTACTCACTCCTCCCACAACTACAGCAAAAATACAACCAAACTACAGAACAGCCATCAGTCAGAACTGCCTGAAATCTGGCTATCAGTAGTCCTACAACTAAAGATATAAAGTAGAAGTCACATGGAGACTGGCAGGAAGGGTAGAAACCTGAAATGGGTAATTCCCACATAACAGATAAAAATAGGGAGGGCTATCTTGACTGCAGAAGTCCCTCCTGAGGAGCCAGGGGTCCCAGGCCCGCACCAGGTGCCCCAGCCCACTGTTCTGGTGCAGGGAAGAGCAGTCCCCATAGCTTCTGGCTGTAAAAACCAGCAGGGATTGTGGCAGAGGGAGACAGAAGGCCTCTGGAGTCCCAGGCATTCCTCTTAAAGGGCCTATGCATGACCTTATTCAGACTCACTCCCTCTTAGCTCCAGTGGGCAGCATCTCGAAAGCCACCAGGGACATACTAGGAGGACCTGAAGTGTCAGTCATCAAGGCAAGAGCTGGAGGAACGGCCTTCTCCCAGAGAGAAGTACTGGCAGAGACCACTGTTCCTTTTCTGAGATCTTCCTCCCCTCACCAAACTGGCAGATAGGTGCCATAGCTGAGACTCCATTAACCTGCATCATACTGTTCACCCCACCCTGGAAATTTCCTGAGACTCCACCACACCAACTCACGGGGGCCCACCCAAGCTGTTTCCAGTGGCTTTTCCATATGAATGGCCTGTTTTGGCTCATGCTTCAGATTTTCCTAAAATCTCTTAAACAAGCAGCATCTGGCTTCAGTGTGTCCCATATCTCTTGCTCAGTAGCCCCAGGCCCGACACTAGCAGTAGTCGGCCTTGGCTCACAGTTTGGCTTCTACTGGGCACCTCCAAATGTAGCATTAGTAGCAGCCATCTACCGATCACTCATACCAGATGGCTCTGGGCAGAACACAGGGAGTGGTTCAACTTGACCTATACCTCCTGGGAGACCCCAGAGCCAGCACATCCAGTGGACAACTTCAGGCCATATGAAAGCATCACCCAGCTATCTTCACAAGTGACACACTCAAGGGGCAGACTC